TGCCTTTAAAGACTCAGGATGAACTTAAATCTCGTTCTGCTTTTATTGGAGCAAAGATTAAACCCTCATAAAAAAACAAAAACAAACACAACCTAACAGAGAAGTTCGGCTTCTCTAGTTCTCTAAAATGTTTTTTTCTTCTCTATTTGCATCTTCTGCACCGATGGCAGCTTCCCTCTGATCAGCAAACCTAAACACGTTCTTAGTATCACCGACCGTTTAGACGCTCCTGAACGCACCTTTACGTCTAGATAACATGGAAATGACTCGCCCCAGGGGCGTCATTCGTATTCAGGATGAACGCACCTTAGGAGCTGAACTGGGAATAATAAAGAATAACACCCTACAAAACAACAGGGGCTGGAAACAAGATTTAAAACTGTAAATCTGAGGGAAAGGAAGCTAAAAATGAAAGAATGTATCCAGATTATTTCACTTAACGAGACTGCTTGAATTAAGAGTTCAGTGTCAATTTAAGCCCTTAAAAAAACAGTTAACTTCTAAAACAAAATTAATTATCTAAAACTTTTAAATGTAACTTTTTTATCATGGAAAGGAAGCAAATCATTTGCAGTAATCTGAACTAATTTCTGCATCTAACCAAGTCTGACGACCATTTACCCAGTTTCAGTTCAATATACCGACATGTCGAACAGATTCTGTTGGATTATTACGTTTCTAATCATAATAAGTGCGATAATCTGACCGTGCAGAAACACAAAATTCACTTGCTAGGACTTAATGACTGGAAGTTTGTAGAGGACCCTGATCCAGAGATGCAGTGATGCTATGAGATGAGCCGAGGCTTTGAGGCGTGATCCATTTAGGGGAGGGGCCAAAGCAGATGACGTCATATCTACGGCGATACCACGTGACTGCTTCAGGAAGTGGTTCAGACCAGCATTTAAACAGCCTCAGGATTCTGTCAAGATGTGGGAGTTTGTAGTTGAGCTGCTGTCAGTTGGATAGATTCTAAGAATAGATTGGTTGTTTTTCCAACCAATCTAGTTGGTTAAAATTATTTTGGTTAGATAAAACGATGTAATGATCAGAATCTTCAAGCCACTGGTTACAGTTGTAACATTAGTGTTAAGTAGTACTGCTTACCTTAGGCAACACTAGGCAGCTGCCTAGTGTGTTTCCATGAATGGTTAATAAAACTATTCCTTATTTCTGCACATTAATTATGTTTTTGAT